GCCCAGAGAAGCTGTGGCTGCCCCCTCCCTGGCAGTGCTCAAGGCCAGGTTGGATGGAGCTCTGAGCACCCTGGGCTGGTGGAAGATGTCCCTGCTCATGGCAGGGGGGTTGGAACCAGATGATCTTTAAGGTCCCTTCCAACCCAAACCATTCTGTGATTCTATGATTTTGCCTTGGACCAGAAGGGGAGAAAAGGGACCGAGAGCCATCCCAGCCTGCTCCTCCCATCAACAAACCCCACACCCGTCCCCAAAGAAAAGAGAAAGGCTGTCTGATACCAGCTCAGCCCCTTCCTACCGCTTCTCCTCTAACCTCTGCATGCGCTCTTGCAGTTCCCGCTGCTTTCTGATCTCCGGGAATTGCTTCTCATAGTATTCCCGCACTTTGCTCTCTTTGGCACGGCGCCGGGGGTTATTTTCGATGCGCTCCACTTTTTTTTCCCAGGCTTCCATCAGCTGGTCGTAACGCTGGCAAAACTTCTGTTCCTGAAAGGGCAGAGGGAGAGAGGGAGCTCAGGAGACGTGCCTGGGAAGGGCAGCTCCTCCAGACCCGTCCCTCGATGGCTTTTCAGGCTGAGCGTGAGTCACATCGCTTAAAGAAATATGATTTATTGGGACACGGACACGCTCTAGGGTCTGGGACCAGCCCAAGGGTAAATTCTCCAGACAGGCCATCAGACACCCTCAGGCTTTTCCCTTCCAGACCCATCATCTCTGGTGAAACCAGGACTCTCGCCCAGCGCTGGCTTTGCTCATCCACCACATCTTCTGCCTGAGCATCCTCCAGCACCTTGGGTGCTTGATTCAGCAACCAAAGCCCCTGCTCCGACACGGCTGGCCACAGCGTGGTGGCCTGGCCATGACGTGATGCCCTCAGCTCCTCCAACCATCCTGGAAAGCTGCAGTATTTTTCCAGCTGCTGCTCCTCCTTTTTGGCCCAGGAGCGGGACAAGCGCATCCCCACCAACGGCAAACGCAGGCTCTGCCGAAATGCGGCACTGCAAGGGGTTTCAACGCCATGTTCCCTCGGGTGACGTCCTCATGGGACACCCACCCAGCTGCCCACACAGGTCCAGCACCGTGCTCCTCCCTGGTATCTATGGGACCAGCCCAATAACCGTAACATTAAAATATAATTTTCAACACAAATGAGCCTTCCCCCAGCCCCCCCAGATCACTCCTCCTTCCTGTGGGCACTTGCTGGAGGAGAACGCCCACGGACAGGCGAGGTCCATGCCGAGATGATGTCCGGCCATGGTCCCCGATGGCTGCAGCGGTGACAGGAGCGATGGCGCCCAGCCTCACGTGAAAGCAGCTGGGCAGCCGGAGGGGGTTTTAAGGTTTCATTTTGAGTGAGGCAAATGCCTTCGAGGCCCCAGATCAGGAAGCGAAAGCAGATGTCGCACTGCAAAATACTGCATGGCAACCCCCAGGCTGCCTCCCGCCCCCCACGCCGCTCTCCAGACTGGGCAGCTCGGCCCCGCGCTTGGCCCCACAGCAGAGATGGGGGGAATCCAGATTTCAAAGAAACAAACTCATCTCTTGCCATCGCCGACCCACGACCGGAGCGTTG